CACCTCTCCCAGAAGGCCACAAAGTAAACACTACGTAAATACAACCCTCCCCACCCAACAACGAGCAAGTACGAAACTCCCCTTTAACAACCTCCGTGAAGCGAGAAAAATTAACTATTAAAATAAAATTTTCTCAGCCCAAATACGCCCATCCCCTCTCTCCCGGTGACCAAATACGACCCCCTCCATTGTTGGCGATTCCCCAACAACGATGTGTCCTGTTTCTTGCTCATTATCCAGAAAGAGTTCGTATGAGCGGCTTGTACTGGGCCGTCGAACTGAACGTAGGAGCAACAAAGTTTTTATGAATGAAGAGTAGAAATCGTCGGTAAATCAGAAGACAATATCTGATAAGACACATCCTCAACCCTCGAGTGTGATTATTACTCCGAAGGAAAAGCAATGGCCATCATAAAAATTGTTGTTGATATAGTTATGATCAAAGAGCACTAAGCAATTTCATAGCGTTATCGTAGTCGACTAATTGTTGGGTTGACCAATAAGTGATCACTCAAAATATCGCGCTGAAGATGAAATGTTTTGCCTTTAGGTTTCATATTGTTCTGCAGAGAATTCCTTGCTCTATAAGACTGCATTCTTAATTTTTCTGAAGATTCTGTTTACGCTAATATTCAAGCGCTCAAACTGGATTATCAGGTCGACGAAAATGAGCAATTTCGACAGCCTCTATTTTTCACCTCTAATTAAAAAACTAAAACAGCACAGGTCCAGTTGCTAAATATACGGCCAAGAGGCTCTGCTTCTTAGAAATGCTTACGATAGTTCAACCGAATCAAAGATTTAAATTCCGACCTCACAGACAAGCATGGATCCTAATGCCCTATTGAGTGCAACTGAGAGCTTACTAAATCACCTTACTCACGGAGATTCATACCAAGGATGGGGAATAATTAGAGGTCATGAAATGCTTCTTTATCATCATTGAAGCATCACCCTCAGCTAACGTTAGAAACTTGGTGAAGGAGTTCTGCGCAATCGCCCCAAGAGGGCACCCATGCGATGCGCATTTACAAGGTCCGAATTCCATCTCTGAATCGCTTGAACCGATTCAAGCTGTCATAAGAAGCATCTCTCCTTGATCAAATATCTTACAAGTTTCGATCTTCTTCGACAATTTGAGAGCTGAGATGAAGTTCAAAACTTGTCTGTCGTGTCAACCCGACACTCCGTTTCAGTGGAATAAAAATCGGCAGAAATAAAAGACAATACGAGCAATTGAAGTATTGAACTAGCGGTGAAATTATCTATCGAATAGCATAGAATATAATGGAGACGATCTCCACTTTTCATATAAAAATTTGTGGAAGAAAAAAGCCAATAATTATAGCCAACCTAATATTAGGTTTCGGCAAGGAATGAGCAAGAATGCGTTTGAGTGTAAAAAAATTTTTATTATAAAAACGAAATTAAACAAGGTCAATCTAAAAGATAATCTCCATTACTAGCAATGACTTGTTGCCAACTGTACGCAAAAACTTCGCCAAAAGAGCCTCTTTCACTACTTTTCCCCTCGGGTGTGTCGTTAGGTCCGCCGGAGAGGAAATGTAGGTCAAAAGAGCCTCTTTTTGCCAGTTTTCTCGCCGAGTGTGTCGCTAGGTCCGCCCGCTGCCCCTGTGAGCCGAGTGGGTCATTAGGTCCACCCAAGTGCGTCGTTAGGGACTTGCCTTGAAGTCTTACCACATACAAGCTCGCATTCGAAATTTTTGGTCGAGCATTTTCTAAACTTTTTTTCTCTAAAAAAACAAGGTAGACATAGAAAAAATATATCAAAAGATGCGCAATAAAAACCTCTCTCTAATGGAACTGTTTTGAAAACTCCTATAGTAGAAGAGAAATAAATAGACAAAGTCAACGCGCATTCCTTTCCACAACCTAATATTATTTCTAGCCCTCAAAGAGAACACTGTTAATCTTAGGCCCACATGGCTTTCCATTGAGTGGTCCAGCATCCTCACTCAACCTTGTACTGCTGCTAGGCGACGTTTCCTTCATTTATATCTCCAGTAATTCGTCTCTCCTGACCGTGGTAAGCGGCGTTGATGTTGAGATGTACATGTTTGTTCTCGTATACAGGGGGGGCCAAAAAAAAAAGTCATTTTGCCTCCATGACTTTCAAGGCGCTATAAGTTACACTTTATTAAATTTTTATCGGACATTTTTACTACCATATTAAAGAGCACATTAAATACTATAATGATACTCCGCCACAGCCTTCTGGAGGAGCGCCATCGAGAGATTCGGCCGCGCGAAAGTGAGTGGGTACCGCAGTTGAGCGAGATCGTTGATTTCTCCGCCACTGAAGACCACCCTGTTGAGCTCCGCCCGAACCGAGTAATTGAGGGGGTTTAGTTCAGGACCCCCGCTTAAATACTAGATCTTTTCCAGGTACTCAACGTTCTTTCAATTCCGAGTAGCGCGGGAGGTTTTTCCAAACCCTTCGATTCCGTGTGGTGGCACTTGTGGATTTTATTCCATCATGTTCCTGTATTTGTATTTGTAGTACATATACAATCGTTGTTGAGTATTTGCTTCAATTTTTCGTTGTCGAGATCTTTCAACACTTTGTTGTAATTGCAAATTTTGCTAGCCATTGTGTTGCTGTACTTATAAACGATTCTAATTGGGGTGAAATCACTGCTCCTTCCATTATCGTTGAGTAGTATATCTCTAACAGTACGTGAATTGAAGATTCTGTTGAAGGGTATTTCATTAAACACCCTGCTTTTGAAACTGACCTCTACATTATGATAGTTCTTTTTGGTGATTTCTTTTGTGGTAGTGTCAAAATGAAAATGAGCTAGCAGACAAAATATTAAGTACCTAGTCTTATTATTAACTCTTTGTAGAAAGTCTGCAGACATGGAGAGTTCAATTAGTTTCTTAATTTCTTCTTTACGCAGGCTTTTGAGCATTCTGAAGTAATGAATAGGTTTGAGTGTTTCACTATTACTTGTTATCGTTGCTATAATATTATCGTATGTGCTCTTACTTTAATTTTTTACTGCTTTCTTTTTCCTCTATTTATCCTTTGTTTTGTAATTTTAAGAGAGAAGAAGGGATGATTGCCCTTGTACATGAGAGGATTATCTATATTTGTAATGTTTCCATATCCCTTTATGTTATCGTTCAACCCAAAGGGATATGCTGTCATTAGAAGTTTGATCCAAAAAAGTTCCTTTTCTATTAATGTGGTTTTATCATTAGACTTCATACAGTCTAGTACTTGTACCGTTATACCTCTATCACATTTGTAAAAGTGATTATATAACGGTGTGTGTACCTTGTGTGAAAAAATATTAGAAAGATGTTCTCCAATTCTTTCTTTTAATTTTCTTACTGTCATTCCAACATACTGTATCCCACAGCCATTGCATGTTAAACAGTAAACTACATTTTTAGCGTTACAATCTGCATCTGCTTCTTTATATGTGTTAATGTATAAATTTGTAACGTTTGATACAATGTAATTATCTGTATTAGTTATATCACATGTTCTACACTTTCTTTTACATTTGCAACCCTTGTTATCGTTACCAAAGTCGTTGAGTTTGAAGTGATTGGCCCCACCCCTTACCTTGTGGAACCGGGTGGTGGAGTAATAATTTGTAGCGCTGACTTTCGCATTTTTTGACCTAAGATCTAAGCGCATGAGCGGTCAAACCCATACGCAGAGAGCAGACTTCCCGAAGGTTCGGCAGGGCTGCTGCCCAGGGGGTGGCTCTCCCTGCAAAACTACCAGCGCTGGGGGCGCCAAAAACTGTCCGCTCTTGCCGTTTTTGACTTGTATAACCCCGTCAGCGCTAGTCCCTATTTTTTTTTTTTGAAGGGTCATGGCCCTCTTTCCTTGAGAGGCACTGGCCCCTCCTCGTGTGTTGAATGTATAGTGGTGAGAAGTATGGGACAGTGTAAATACAACAAAAACGTAGAAAAAGAATTGAAAAAAAGAAAGGGAAAAACGCGCAGGGCCAACCAGTAATAAACAAGGATAGCAAATGAAACGAAAACCATCTATAGCCTAGGCTAAAGTGTAATACATGTGCCACATATGAGTATAATCCGTGATACAAGAGAGTAGGAAAAAAGTTGAAAGAGTAGTAGGGTTCATTTCCATATATAATAGTGAAAATTGCGGTGAACCAGCCAATGTGGAAGCAAAAAGTAACAGTCTGAAAGCAGATAGGTGTGAGGATACGTCAATCGACGCAAGAGGACCATCGGTCCCAAAGAACAACGTCAATCGACGCAAGAGGACCACTGGTCCCAAAGAACACCACTGGTGCAAGAGGCAGTCGCCTCAGTTCGAATCAAAAATCACTATAGAAGAACATAAAAGTTATAGACGGAAGTGAGTAGTGTATGTCGAATGGAAATAGCTGAAATCGAAGAGCGACCACCGGCCGCGTGTTTGGACCACCGGTCCGAATAGCAAGCACCACCGGTGCGAGAGGCGATTTGCCTCTAAGAGGTAGCGAAGG